TTCCATGGAGGAAGCTCCCTAAGGGGTGAGCACAAGCTATGGTGCCTCCTAAGGCTCAGAACTGTCACTTCAGCGCACATTCCACTGGCCGAACTCATACCTACAGGATAAAGTCCAGTTGCCCTGGCCAGCCTTCTATCATTTTTTGGAACCAAATAGATTAAAATCGATAAAAAAAAATTTTAATTTTTAGCAGAACACAAGAGGCCTTCATTGTCCATCTCTTCAGTTTTCTGTAGCTGTACTTGCAGCTCCCAATGGGTCCTTCATAATATATATCACACCAATAGGACCTTGTAGATGCTGCCAGTCCTCCTACCCCTCCCACCCAGCCTGCCTTATCCCCACCCACATTTGAAGAATTCCTATCATTCTTTGAGTCTCAGTTCACATATCTCCTTGTCTGACAAGCTCCCCGGCCCAACCAGAGCTCAATTTTTGCTCTGGCCAACACTATACATAGAATCATCTGTCAGCTCACTTCTCCCAGGCTATTGCCCTTATCTCTTAAAGAGCACTCTGAGGGGGAAAACAGGGCCCTATTCATTTTTGGGTCCCCAGCAACTAAGTACTCAATATTTATTGAATTAACAAGCCAACAAGTGATTGAATAATTCAATGAATGAATAAGTGAATGTTGTGTTGCATTTCCAGTATGTATGCTTTTCATTAGTTTACTCAGACAGCTAGTTGCCTCCCAAAAGCCATTCCCTTTCTCTCTTATGAACTAAAACCAGTGTTAGGGAATGGGACATATGACACTAGGGCTATCTCTTCAACAAGACATACATTTTACTCTTAGTAGAAAATAAATATTTCCGTGACCACTTACCGAGTTCCTACTCTGTGCTCAACACCAGGTATACAAAGATGGATATATGATCATTCCTGACCACACACGCATACACACACAAAAAAAAGAGAAATGCAGAATAAGAGAAGAGAAAAACACAAGGGCAATGTGACCATAATATGTGGAGCCATTTTGAATGTGTTCACCTGCAAGTCACAGAATATTCCCCTAAAATGTGACTTAGGCAACCAAGGATTATTACTGTTTCTCATATAGCAAAAATGCTGGAGGAGAAATCTTACAGCTCGGAGTCTGCAGGGTCCTGCCATATTCACCTTCCTGTGAATCTCTTGGTTTCCCCCTCTGACTGCCACAGCTCCCAACATCCCTCCTCACAGAACTACATCTACTGGCAGAAATGAAAAGGAAGGGTGTTCTGTGCATCACTGCTCTGTTGTCCTGGAGGAAAATCTTTCCCAAGAATCCCTTAGTAGGTTTTTCACCCAATCCCTTTGAACAAGATTTAATCATACCCCAGATCCTAGATGAAAAGGGAATATCAGATTTTTTCAGCCTTTGTTGAAAGTGGCAAATTTCAACAGGAAAAGGAATGGTTATGGGTGAGCAATCAACAGGGTCTGGTATGCCAGATGGACGCAATGACAGAGAAGTGCACACCAGCTATTTGGACATTTAGGAAGGACCCCTATCCCATCAAGAGGAGGATCCCTGGAGTTGATAACACCTGAGACTGTTACAGAAGATCAGAGAAATACCAAGCACGCTTCCCAGAGCAGTGGTCGGCAAACTCATCAGTCAACAGAGCCAAATATCAACAGTACAATGGAAATTTGAGAGCCAAATTTTTTTAACTTAAACTTCCTCTAATGTCACTTCTTCAAAATAGACTCACCCAGGCCATGGTATTTTGTGGAAGAGTCACATTCAAGGGGCCAAAGATCAAGTTTCATTAACACTAGTGGACTCCGGGAATAATTTCTGAATCAGAGTGAGGAAGTATGCAGAGTCTGTCTATATATATCCCACTGGGGTTTTTGTCTTGCATATATGGCCCCTGCCCCTTTTGTAGTCCTACATAAAGGCCCTCAGGTTTCAGGCAACATCTGATGGATGGTGATGGTCCATCCTGACACCAGCATAACAACCCCCACCCCCACCTCCACCCTGCCCCGCAGGGCAGAGCATTGTTCACAGCTCCTTGGCCTCTGCATTTAGATAACAAGTTCTGCAAGACCAGTTTCCTCCTCAAGACAAATACTGAAGAGCAAATAGGATTTAGCAAGAAACAGATGGTGACAGAAAGGATGGGGTGGACTGAGGTCCCAGGTAAAGGAACAACCTAAGCAAAAGCATAGGACCCTGAAAGATGTTAGCACCAATCTAATATTACTAGAACCTTTAATGACAAGAAAGGAGTCTTGTGAAGTGTTGGGGCTTAGTCACAAAGACCTCCAGGTCAGTAAGCAGGAACTTGGGATTGCAAATGTGGAGCCTGGAGGTCAAACCCAGACTCCAGATGTGTTCTGTTTGGTAGACACATTGTATTTGCATTCTGCATACAATGGCTGGAGGCAGGGCACTTACTCTCCAACAGAGCCCCTTTCTATTGATCTTCTCCCGGCATTTACATCATCTGCCTGAAGGCTTTTGGCTTTGCCTCTCCAGTTAAGTGCTGCGGAGCCATCATAAGACCTTAACCAGGGGGTGGTACTGCCAGTTGTGTGTCTGTGTTAATCTCCTTGGCAGCTGAAAATTACTGACAAGTGTCTCAAATACCCCTGTTTCTGTGTTCTTCACCTTCATGGTGTAAGGTTTGAGGCACAGGAAACTGACCACCAAGGAGTTTTGAAGTAAAGTTTATTCCCCAGTAATGAGCGGGACTCATTACGGAGGTAGAGAAATCAGAATTGAAGGAGTTGGGAGGGGAGATGGACCCAGCCCGGCTGCCACCTGGACCTGGAGGATCAGCAGCATGTGACTGGTCTGGGGGTCTTTTTAAGGGGAGGAACAGAAGAGGGTTGGACCCAGGGCAGAAGAGGAAGGGGTGGGCTCCAGGACACTTTGGCAGGTGCTGATTGATGGCTCAATGTCTTGGAGATGTCTCTGTGATAGATGCCAGTAATGTCATAACTCCGCCCACCAGTTGGGAGGAGGGAGAACCTTATACATGGTAACTGCCAGCATTTGCTACATTCATTCATTTTTTTCATTAAGTTGTTCATTCAACAAATGTTTATGGAGCCACTACTTGGCCAGGCACCAGTCCAGTGTTTGTGATTCAGCAGTGAACAAAACCGACAAAAATCCCTGCTCTCATGCATATTAAATGTTTCTGATACATGATTTCTGGCTCTCTTACCTTCCCAGGGATCTGAGCCATATACTTGATTTCCAGGTCTTTCTAGTCCCACAGATAGTTCTCACTATCTGTGGGCAGGGCGGGGTGAGGATGAGCTCCCTACTCCGCCCCTGAGTTATCCCTAGCCCTCACCCAACCAATCAGGGTTAGCCGAGGCAGTGACATCACCACCGACCCGAGTAAAACCCCTGGACTGGGAGAAGTTCGCTCTCTTCCACCATGCTGCCGGCGTGGGTGGGAGGGGCCCATGCTAGCATGGAGAAGGCTCTTTTGTTTATTGCATCGGACTCGGCTCCCTGGTGGTCCTTGGGGATCACGAAGTCTGGGCATAACAATAGGTGTGTCTAGACTTTTCTGGCAGCTGGGTATTTGGCACTCCGGATTATGCTAAATTTCACACTTGAAAACCTGCTTACAGGTTGCAGTCATTTCTATCTCATCCCTTCACCATTTTTTCCCCTTCTTATAGAACCTAGAGGAAGGGAAAAATAAATTTCCCCCCACCCTAAATTGTCAGTAAAATTGCCAAAATAAGATGAATTTCTGCATATGACCCTCCTAAAAATCCCTCCAGGCTTCTATTTGAATGTTTCTCTAGAAATTTAGAGGGATTATTCAGGACCACAAGTGGAGACCAAAGATAGACATTCAACGTGACTGAAGCAGAGGGCAGAAAACTTGAGTATATGGACTCTGGAGTGAGACCACCTGGGTCCTAATTATGTTTGGACACTTGTTGTATTGTACCCCGAATCTCAAGAAGTCTAATTATGGAGTAATTTATTAAAGGGCGGTGGCATATGAGGGCCAAAAGTGCTCCAGATCTCGAAGCCCGAAAAGCTTGCCACATCTGGCTTATATTGGCAGAATATCACAAATGTATTTGTTGTGGGGTCAAACCCTGGGTTCAAAATAAGACCACTGGAGGCTGATGATTGATTGAAAAAAAAAAAAGCAGGCAAGGATTTATTGAAAAACTGGCAAGGACAGCCACGAGAGCACCACACGCAGGTGGAGTCCACATGACCACACTGTTTCAGATGTAGGCAGTCTTTTTAAAGGTTCAAACCACAGGAATTTGCCTTTGTTCTAAATTCTAAATTCTAAATAATTCTAAATTCTAAATAATTCTAAATTCTAAATAATTCTAAATTCTAAATTCTAAAAATTCTAAAAATTCTAAATTCTAAATTCTAAAGGCTGGGAACAGCCCGCAGGGTCAATCCCAGTCACATCCTGCTGGACATTGGAATGTGGCCCTATCTTGTGATAGCTGAAAATACAGAAGCAGAGCACAGTGGTTAGTCTCTAAAGGTTATCTACAGTTTCTACCCCTGAATCTACTGAGTCAGTGGGAATCAATCTCCTGTGGTCCTGGTCCCAGGCAAGGGAAAATTGCCTTAGCCTCCAGGTCTCCACCTGGCAGCTGAGGTAACTATCCTGTGTTTAATCAGGTGCAGGAACCAGACTAGAAAGGTTAAAATTCAAACAGCAGTTTTTACACAAGTATGGTTGCTACCATATTTCAGTATTGATTACATCTTTGGGATTTTAATGAGAAACCTGGTTTGCACAAAGCAATTACAGAAGCGAAATTGAGCAAGTTAGTTATCTATAAAGATTAAATATAGTTTTGAGTCTATAGATTACAAAATCAACAGAAACACATTATCTGGGGCCACCGAGGCAATATCCTATATAATGAAAGGGTAATATGCAAATTGACCCAATTGTGGAACAAACAAGTCACTGTGACCCACACTGACCACCAGGGGAAAGATGATCAATACAGGGGCTGCCCCCTGGTGGTCAGTGCACTCCCACAGGGGGAGCGCTGCTCAGCCACAAGCCTGGCTGACCGAGGCTGGCAAGCGCAGCTGCAGTGACAGGAGCCTCTCCTGCCTTCCTGGCAGTGCTAAGGATGTCAATTGACAGCTTAAGCCCACTCCCTTCAAGGAACTTCTGAACTGCTAAAGGTGCGCAGGCTGGACTGAGGGATTGCTAAAAGGCACAGGCTCCCCTCCCCCTCCCCCACTTGCATCCCCCTCTCAGTCCATGAATGTCGTACACCAGACCTCTAGTTTAGAATAATTGTGCTGTCCAGATTCTGGGACCACTGAGTTAACTGTAATGCATTATCTGTAGCTACTGAGGCAATTTAGGGTCATTGTGCTGTCCTGGTTTCCAGGAGAATGTGCTTCAATAACCGGTGAGATCACAATCAATGGGATATTCAAACCACCATCAATTGAGTATTCAATCGATTGGGATAGCATACATAAGTTCAGAAAATCAAAATAACTTTTCTATTATTTTAGCAAGCAAATAATTACAGAGGCCAAACAGCAGGGTTAAAGTTAAGGTTAAAAACTGCAGTTTCTACCTGAGATAATTGCTATCATACTTCACACTGAGCAAGACCACCTGGGTTCAGATCCTGTTTCACACCTTGAACAAGTTATATTGCCTGAGAAATTCCCCTATTGACAAAGGGCGTTGATGGCGATAATGATGATGATACCACCCATATATCAAAGAGCTGTATGAATGAGATGCAGTCATTCATTAAAGCACATGTGTCAAACACAAGGCCCGCGGGCCAAATCCGTCCCGCCAGGCCTTGCAATGTGGCCCGCACCATGCTGTCATCACTGCACTCTGCTGCATTTCCATCACAATGACAGTTTATGACTGTTCAGTAAACCATTCGGCCCACGATTTAGGCTGGATTTTAGATTTTGGCCCCTTCTCTGATTGAGTTCGACACCCCTACATTAAAGTGACATGTGGGCTGAGAGCTGGGTGAGATGCATCTTTACATGAAAGTTGAGGGCTGCCACCACAATGAAAAAAGAATGAATGCTGTAGCAGCAAACATTCAATGTTCACTTACCGAGCCTGTGAAATAGTCTTTACATAGTAGTCCACCCTCCTTCTGACCCGCTGAGCCTGGACATGGAGAAACAGGAAGGATCAGATTTCTGTCCAATTCAAAAATTCTGGTTGGTACGATTCATTATTGATTCTTCTTGTCTGGGCCAATTGCCTTAGGCCACATGTTTAAATAAAAATGACCTTTCTTTTAAAAACATAACTCAGTGTAACCATTAGGTCAAAATTTTGGCTAAAGATTGGGTTCCCGAAAAAATATCAAGCAAAGTGTCTTACCATTTGTGATAGGACAGCTGTTGCCTCTTTTTCCAAGAAGACATTAAAGGATCTGATTACTACCATAAATGAAAATGACTAAACCATGATTATTTTCTTTTTAATCTTTTCCCCCCAGTGAACATATACATAAAATGGAGCTGTAATCCATTCTTTCATGCCAATAGTATGTCAGGAAATCTCCTCCCTTGTGGTCTCCAAGGCAGCAGCCCTCAACCTGAGCTGAGGCTCATGGGCTGGATTTGACTTTGAGCTGGTGAATGCAATCAATGTAGACAGGGACCTTGGATGACTCAAACTTGAGAGTATTTCTGGTGCTGAATGCTGTGTATGTTTTGGCTCCCTGTGCTGGTTAAAGTCGCCTGATGAGTCAAGTCTGTTTGTCACTTTCTGTTGTGGTGAAATGCCTCTTGACACTATGAATGCTGGCTTTCACTCTGTACTGATGATGGTGCATGTTCCAGTTCTGTAGGAAGGGGAGGAGGCTACGGACTCACTTTCTGGATCACTACGGACTTGCCCTTTGGTAGAGGACCATTCTTAGCTTATTTTTTAAAAATATATTTTATTGTTTTTTTTTACAGAGAGGAAGAGAGAAGGATAGAGAGTTAGAAACATCGATGAGAGAAAAACATTGATCGGCTGCCTCCTGCACACCTCTTACTGGGGATGTGCCTGCAACCAAGGTACATGCCCTTGACCCAATCCAACCTAGGACCTTTCAGTTTTCAGGCTGACATTCAATCCACTGAGCCAAACCAGTTAGGGCTCTCAGCTCATTTTTTTATGGTGTCCTGACAAACATGGATCTGTGGCCACTGAAGACTTAAGCCTGTGGGGGAGAAGGAGGGAGCTATTGTAAATCTGAATGAGGGCATCCAAGTGGAAATCAGACCCACAATCTGCCCTCACGAGCAGCAACCAATGGAGTGGCCATGTTCAGCACTCTCAAATAGAGCTCATACCTTTCTGCATAGGAATTTAAAATATCTGTTTGTTTTGTGCTGTGAAAGATCATGTGAAAAGACAAGCTGCAGATAAGAAGAAAATATTTGCAAGTCGCATGTGCGACAAATGCCTTGCATCAACTATATAAAATTCTCAAAACTCAATAGTAAAAAAACAAGCTATCCAATTAGAAAATGATCAAAGGACTTGGGTGTCATACCAACTGTCTCCCCAGGAAAATGTAAAAGGGAAGCCTCAACAAAGTTCTGTCTTATGTCAGCACCCATGAAATATTATATAAATAGCCTTCCAAAATATATACGAATTTAGATGTATCAAAAGAAAAAGGACAAACAGATATTTCACCAAGAGGATATACAGACAGCAAATAGTCACAAGAAACATAGGCAAATGCAAATTAAAGCACAGTGATACATCCCTATACACCTAGTAGAACAGCCAAAATAAAAAGGAGTGATAATAACTCATGCTGGCCCTGGCCAGGTGGTTCAGTTGGTTGGAGTGTTGTCCTGTACACCGAGAGATGGTGGGTTCAATTCCCAGTCAGGGCACATACCAGGTTGAAGTAACTGAGTTAAAATTGGGTCTTTAGGATGGACCCTAATCGTGCTTATAATAAGAGGACATTTGGAAACGGTTCCTGAGGGAGGCCATGTGAAGGCACAGAAGACGGTCATTTACAGGCCAAGGAGAGAAGCCTTCGCAGGTACAATTCTGCTGACAATTTGATCTTGAACTTCTAGCGTCTGGATCTGTGAGAAAATAAATCTTCTATTGTTTAAGTCACCCAATCTGTAGTTCTTTGTTATGGGAGCCCTAGCAATGTGATAGAGGGTCTGTGCATCCGTTAATCTCCCCAGCTTCTTCCACTGCTCAGTCAGTGTCAGGAATGACTGCCTTCTAAAGTAAACCTATATTGCCCAACTCACATTCAAGACACTGGCCATACTTCACCCACCAGATCCCAGTCCCCACTTCTCTATAAAAGCTCCCCACTGCAGTCAGGACCTCCACAGCACCATCTCTTAAGAATTCCATGCTCACCCTGGCTGGTTTGGCTCAGTGGATAGAGCATCAGCCTGCGGAATGAAGGGTCCTGGGTTCGATTCTGGCCAAGGGCACATCCCCAGATTGCCGGCTCGATCCCCAGTAGGGGGTGTGCAGGAGGCAGCCAATCAATGATTCTCTCTCATCATTGTTGTTTCTATCTTTCCCTCTCCCTTCCTCTCTGAAATCAATAAAAGAAATATATATTTTTTAAAAAGAATGCCATACTCGTTCTTGCTGGAAACCAGTTTGGCTCAGTGGATAAAGCGTCGGCCTGCGGCCTGAAAGGTCCCAGGTTCAATTCCAGTCAAGGGCATGTGCCTTGGTTGTGGGCACATCCCCAGTGGGAGGTGTCCAAGAGACAGCTGATCGATGATTCTCTCTCATCGATGTTTCTAACTCTCTATCCTTCTCTCTTTATCTCTGTAAAAAAATCAAAAATATATATATTTTTTTTAAAAAATTTAAAAGAATGCTATACTCATTCTTGACACCACTCTTTTGCTCCTGCAATCTGTTGCCCAGACTCAAAGTCTTCACCTCTCCCTTCTTCCAAACACTTGCAATTCAAACCTTTATCAAGCATTTACTAGGCTAGGTGTTATGATGCTTAACCAAGTAATAGATTTTTTAAGACGGGCCTTTGCTTCTAAGCGAGGTGGGGGAGGAATGGGGATGGTGTGTAAGCTTCCTGCCACATCTCTCCTGTTTCACCAACCAGTAACCTAGCCAAGCCACCTATTCAAAGCTTGACTGTCAGTTTTGGGAGAGCTAGTGTAGGAATGTCCATTGTCGGCATTAAGAGAAGAGCAAGGCTCTTTCTGGGGCCCCTGTTTAGGGGAAGCACCAGGAAGGAGTTAGTGAACTCACTCTGGTGACTTTTGAGCTGCGTTCTCAGTCTCTATGCACAATTTTTTCTTTGCCTCAGATTGCCTTGCTAGGCCAACTAGTACTCGTGATAGGTCCTTTACCAGTTAAAAGCATAAATTTAGCACTCGGAAAGGCCCAGTTCAAACCCCAGCCACTTTACCTCCTAGCTCTCCAAAATAGTACCCTAAACTTAAGATATGCAGAGGAGATTACTGGGTGTTCTTTCAATGAAACCCTGAACTTGACTTTCTACTGATCAGGCAGTTTTCGTCTCTGTCGTGGACAGAGGTTAACTTGTATATTTTGGTCCAGTAAAGATGCAAACAATTTAACTCTGATAGGAGAATCAGCTCCAAGAGTTCTTGTTTATTGCCCTGTTGGACATTAACCAGCTTTCTATCTAATCCACTTACCTTTCTGTATTAATTTCCTAACGTTTGTTATAACAATTGACCACATCTTGAGGCTTAAAACAACCTAAATTTATCTTCGAGTTCTTGAAGTCAAAAGTCAGTTTCAGAGGGCTAAAAGCAGGTGTCAGCAGGGCTGCTTCCTTCTGGAGGTTCTAGAAAAGGACCTGCGACCTGGCCTTTTCCAGGTTCTAGGGCCACTTACATTCCTTGGCGTGGGGCCCCCTCTATTTTCAAAGCACATCCCTCCCACCCCTCCCCCCATTCTTACATCTCTGTCACTCTGAGACTTGGCTCCCTCTAATAATTGTGATTACATTGGACTTACCCAGATAATCCAGAATAATCTCCCCAACTGAAAATCCTTAATCATCTCTTCAAAGTCCTTTTACATGTAAGGTAACATATTCACAAGCTCCAAAGACCAGGATGTGGATACCTTTGGGAAGCTGGGGGAGGCATTTTTCAGCCTACCACACTTTCCTTACATTTTCTGCCTATGTCTAAATTCTTGAACGCTCTTTGTATAAGTTTTATAAGTATCTTAGTGGTTCTCTCCCTCATTAATGAATCAAATAAAATCTTTGGCATGAGGTCATTTAATATTTGCCCGAGGACCAGGATTGCCATGTTTGAAAAATGACACTTAACATAGCTCTGTCACCCTAGGCAAGTTGCTTAACCTCTTCAAGTTTCGGTTTCCATCTCTGTAAATAAGGATGAAATAATAATAACTTTTGGGGTGGTTGTTGTAGGGGGAGAATGAAGCATTGTATATAAAGCAACTGACCCAGAACCCTGTGTCCTCAATAAAATTAGAGGATGATGGTGATAGAGATGGTGATGATGGTGATGTTATGATGATGGCAGCTGAGACAAGAGCCCGAGCCCTCACCATTTCTCATTTCCACATCCTTAAAATCAAAAGGCTGCGCTCAGTGCTCAGTGCTCTCTGTTTTCCTGTACAGCTCTCTCTGGCTTTATGGCATTTTTAAAAAGACACCCCTTCTAGGTAAAAAAAAAAAAAAAAAGGCAATGCAACCCCAGCTAGAGGGCCCACCAGGCTTGGCAAACTGGTGTGGCTGGTTTTCAGTCTTCACTTGCATCCCGCCCCCCAAGCTGGGCCTCTTTGTGTCATTTACAAACTGTACACACTGTGCAGAGAGGCCCTGCCTCTGACTTTAAAACTAATTGATGATGGTAATTATCATAGAAAGCACTCCACCTTGTTCTCTAGACAGAGGCAATGACGTAATCACAGTAACCTGAGCAGACAGGCAGGACTTGTCTTTGCATTGATTTCATGCCAAAACATGGCAAATGGCATCCAACAATCGCTAAGACACTTACTTATTAGCATCAATAATAAAAATCCCTGCACACGCACACACAGAAACAAAACAAATAACTAATCCTGCCCATTCTGCTCGGAACAGTAAACAGTAAACAGTCATCCTGTAGCAGCCTAGCCAGCCAGCACTTCCT